GGAAGGAATAAAGTAAGGAGGGAGGGCAGAGGGAGGCAGGCAGGAGGTTGACTGGATGCAGCTGTGGAGAACAGAACCCAAAACACAAATGCAAAATACTTGATGGTCGCAGAGGGCCATCCTCACTGCAAAGGCAAATGGCTCAGAACTCACAGAATTTATCCCACAGCTGCCAGAGCCTACGACTGTGATCCTGGAACTGAAACCTACTCTTCCCAAGAGCATGCAAAGAGTCGGAAAAGGACTAGAAAGAACAGATGATGCAGTGGCTTTGGGAAGCCACGAACCTTGTCCTTAAAAGGTCAGTTCCTGACCATCCATTTCTCTGAAGAAACACCACAGAAGCAGCACACAGAGGGCGAGGAGCAAGAAAAAGAGACAATCCCAAACAAGAGAAGTTTCCTTGAACAGGCCACACCCACCATCATGGAAGGCCCAGGTGTGGAAGTCACCAGATCAGAAAGGAGACACACAAGGGCATATTAAGTCATGCATGTCCTAGTGGCCTGAGCCACCCCAGGGTGCAGGGACCAGATCGTCCCAGACACTACGATTGACTTGTCTGTATACACCTGTCCTCTTAGCATCCTGGCTACCAGCACAGCATCACTGATGTACAGATCCAAGACTTATGAAGATCCATCTCACCCTAGCTCAGAACATCTGGCTAGCTGCCTGCTCCCTCTTCTTTTAAAGTGGGATTAATAGTCAAGCAATAAAGACATGTTCTCAGGAAGCAAAAATGAAATATTTAGAATTGAATGTTGATATATTTGAAATAGAAATAAATTGTTATGATCAAAATTAAAATAGAATTATTCCAAGATGACCCATTTTCTCCTTCTGAAAGGAAGCCACACGCCTAAAACTCACCTTGCAGAGCCCTGGCCCTTGGGATTTCAGCATATCTTCGAAGGTCACCTTCTGGTTGCTTATTCATCTGTGTATGTGTGCATAAGAGAGAGTGTGTGAGAGAGAGAGTATAGTGTGGTGTAAATAATGAGTGTGTGTGGTGTTAAGTGTATGTATGGTGTGTGTGTGTGTGTGTGTTACATGCGGAGATCAGGACATCAGCTCTTTAAACTGGAGTTAAAGGTGTATGTGGGACACTTGGCTTGTTCTATGCTAGGATTCAAACTCTGGCAAATTATCTTAACCATTGGGCCATCTCTCTAGCTCCCACCAGGAGCCTTGGACACCCTCCCACACACACACATCCCTTATCTGCAGCCTGGTCTCCTCAGGCATTGCTCTACCCCTCCCTTTGTCCCCTAAGCACTCCACGGACAAACACCATTTGTACAGACATGGCCTGAAAGGCGTTAGGAACACTATCTTCTTCCCTTTTAGCAGCAGAGTTGGTGTCGCCCCCCACCCCCATTGGAATGCCTATCTTTTTGACCCAGGATGGCCATATGGGCCCCCAGCCTACCCCTGGTCAGCTGGTGTTTTCGGATCAAGTATATGACATGTACTCATACTCTGAGGTATGTAGAACAACCTTACTGTTAGTATAGCTCAAGGTCAAACTAGACTACCTGTGGTATGGCAGGCAGAATCTGTTGGGGACACAATTCCCGCTCATAGAGTTTGAGCAGAGATTAACATGTGAGCCTGGCCCTCTGAAATCATGTGTTTCTCTCATACAATGAAAACGCAAAGAAGAAGAGTAAACCAAGGCTCGCTAGAGTGGACTACGGGTATCCTACTCTCTGCTGGAGTGGTCCCAAAGCATCATACTTTCTGACCCAAGTCATTCATTTTTCACAGATGCCCTGGGAAGTATGTTCTGCTTGTAAATGGTGAACCTGTGTTCAGAGAAGCCAAACAACCCAGCTGACACACTCAGGCAGTTAGCTGAACTACGACTTCATTCATCCTATTTGCATATGCAGGACACAGGAGGAAGAGCAAAGGTCACCAGTGGTGGCAATCCTGGACATTAGTGTCCATAGTGAGTGCTTTGGATTTACTAGAGAAGATGGGAAGGTCGCCTCTCATTTGGCATGAGGACTTACTTTCTAATATTCATAAACACGTGAGATCTATTAATGATTTAAAATGAAGGCAATAAAGCACGAAGAAGTATATCAAGGCCCTTGGGAAGCAGGGCTGCTGAGTACCTTTGTCCACTTCCTCTGAGGGAATAAAAACCAGCTGCTATGGAGAAAAGCAGAATACACCAGCAGCAGAGACAAGAGCGCCTGCTTCTGAAGCCACCTTTACGTGGAATGCATTTATAGTTTCCTACAGAAAATGTGGTAGAGGCTTCATCCCTCATGTTTGAGCAGGATGCCATAAGCATGCACTGCTGGCCACTGGGGAACTTGCCCTTCCAGGATGTTTTTCATTTGCTTACAGACTTATCGGAAGTCACTGTAATGGAGTCAACCAACTTATCAATAATTAACTCATACACCGTTATCAATAATTAACTCATACGCAGGGCCGATCAAACAACTTCTGGTCCCTTTAGTTGCCATTTAAACACGCATCTGCCTTCATCACAATGGAAAGATAATGGCACAGGAGCCAGCAACCCCCTTCTCCACAGACACAGTTTAGCACAAGGGTAAATGGCACACTGGGCATAGCTGTGAAGACTCCTTGTACTATAGGGTCTGCCATTCTCAAGTCTCAAGGTATACATCCTGTGAAGAACTTAAGACGCCTTCTAAACACTGGAGTATTGTGCATGAGGCATCAAGAACCTGAGTGCTTCTCTGACGTTATAAACAAGCACAGCCAGCAACGAGGGAGCCCATGGCAGCAAGAAGTCACTTAGAAACTTCATTGAAAGCACACTTGCGTACGAGCATGGTGCCACAGTGAAAGTTCTTAGCACTTGTGGATATGTATTAGGATATACGCTTAAAAAACAACAGAAAATTAAGCACAGTGCAAACGGGAAGCAGATTTCTAAGAGTACATCATATGTTTACCTCCCAAAGACCATCTTTAAAGACCATAACCACATTGTGTGCAATGTCTAATGGGGTGGGGGACCTGCTGATATATGGACATTTTCCTAAAATGAATCTTTTAAGAGGTTTTCATAATCTGGGCATTCAAGGGTCCCTCTTCTCCCTAGGTAGGGGGGTTGCAAACTCAAGCCTGAGGTTGCTGGGCAGCGGTGGCACAAGACTTTAATCTCAGCACTGGGGAGTTCGAGGCCAGCCTGGTCTACAGAGCAAATTCCAGGACAGGCTCCAAAAGCTACAAAGAAACCCTGTCTGGAAAAACAAAAAAGAAAAAGAAAAAAAAAGAGAGACCAAAAGCCTGAGGTTACCACAGACCCTCTCTTCAGGGCAGTGAAGGCTCTGCTGGATGGAGGGAGAGAGAGGAGGTACCCTCACTGTGATCAGAGAGGTCTCACACAGCCTCTGTCAGCCCTGGGGCAATGGAAGGCTCTGCCACCACAACCCCAATGCCCAGACAGCTAGCCAAGCACACTGATGTTTCACATTTAGCAAGAAGAGAAGCATGAAGTCTTACATACTTTTGAACAGCTTGCCCCAAAAGATGTCACCTTAGACTTGGTGACACCAGTCAAGCAAGGGATCCTCTGAGGACACACTCCGGGCAGACAGTCAGGTGACAAGCAAAAACATTTGTCCAGGGGAGGTGGAGAGCTGGGGCAGACCTCCTTTGCAAATAGTAATTAAAAGACCTAGAAACCCACAATGTCAACATGTAAGGAGGCCTAACTAATTAAAAAGCTTGTTACCAGTGGACTAGCTGTTGTTACCTCTTACTGGAAAGCAATACTTGGCATTGTAAGAAAGCAAAACAAACAAGAAAAATGTCATGTTGGATTGTTTGCTGTGAGGTCAGGTAAGGCGCCTCCTACCAGTTCGCTGGTGCTCTGGGTTCAGGCAGACCAACCAGCTAGTCCACCCTACTGCAGGCTGCCAGCATCCCCCAGCCTGTGCCTCAAATGCAAATGATGACAGCAGGGCAGTGGTGGCGCAGGCCTTTAATCCCAGCACCTAGGAGGCAGAGGCTGTGAGTTTGAGCCTAGTCTGATCTACCAAGTAAATTCCAGGACAGCCAGGGCTGTTAAACAGAGAAGGCTTGTCTGGGGGGGAGGGGGCAGGGGGAGGGTGTGCATATGCTTCTCTACAGAGAACTCAACCCACAGAGCTGTTACAAAAGCCTGCCCAAATAGTTTTTCTGTAACTGCAGGGGACAATAAATGAGTCACAGACCCTATAACCATCACCACTTGAAACAGAACCCCCATCCATCCAGGTGTCACTTTGCAAAAATTGAGCCCTCCCATACTCTAGCTGGGGCCTTTGGCAAGGCAGTTGACCACCCTAAGGCCCTCGTTGGCTGCATTTGGTGATGAGAATGCCCCCTTCATTCCACAAGGACATGGTGATGCCCCGATGGTGTCCTATCCAGTACCCACAGCTCTGTAAACTGCTGTTAATGGGGATAGCAAGGGTGAGCCCAAAAGGCAGCTCTGGGGAGGGACTGTGGTGGGAGACATGTGAAATGACCCATGTCTCAATAAAAGAAGAAGGTACCACTGGGTCCCTAAAAGTTGAAAGCAAGCCAGTTTACCTTAATATTCTCCCAAATTCAACGATGGACACTGCCACCATTCCCTAAGTATTTGACCTTCATACAGTGTGGACCACAAAAATCAAGAACTCTGGTTTTAAAAGCCCAGGGATGTACATGTGGCTCAGTCGTGGTGTTTTCTTAGCATGTGCAAGGCCCTGGGTTCCATCCTCAGCACTTCATGCACACACACACACACACACACCCCACATCCACTAATAACTACCAACCTCGGGGCTAGAATGATGACTCAGTGGTTAAGAGCACTGACTGTTCTTCCAGAGGACCCAAGTTCAATTCCCAGCACCCACACGGCAGCTCACAACTGTTACTCCAGTTCCAGGAGATTGGACACCTCATACAAATATGCATGCAGACAAAACACCGATGTATATCAAATAAATAAACAAGCAAACAGAATAATTACCAACCTGTCTTTGTGTCCTGGGGATTAACCAAAACCAGTAATTTATGTTGACGTTCGTCACGGTACATAGGATAGAAACGAAGAGACGAAGTTTGAAGTCTGACCTAAAGAACAAATAAATTATTATTCTGCTCTCTGGCTACATTAAGGCACAGGAAACGACTGAGCAATTACTTAGTACAGTGTTCATTGAAAAAACACTGTTATCCAGGCGATGGTAGCACATGCCCTTAATTCCAGCACTCGGAGGCAGAAGCAGGTAGATCTCTGTGAGTTCGAGGCCAGCCAGAGGTATACAGAGAAACCCTGTCTTGAAAAATCAAAATACAAAGAAAAAACACAGCAGAGGCAAACTTAGCCACATGCAGGAAATATAAAAACAGAAGCCTTAGCCACCCTAGATGTGGCAAGGGTCTTTGCTTCTGTCTTTCACCAGCAAGCCTCTTCATCCCAAGATCACCTGTCCAATCAACCCATGAATTAGACACCCGTTCTACCACCAAATGCTCCTGAACACTCTTTTCCTTCTCTGTGACTCGTGCTCCTGAAGCATGCAGCATCCAGGGCCTCCCTGCACCTCAATCTGCAAGACCGACGGGCCCACTCCAGCACACACAAGCAGCTATGCCATGGGCTTCATCTGTTCTAGAGCCCTGGTAGCTGCTCAGTAGAATGATCCCAGGCTGCGCCTACCTCCACAGATACTCTAGCTCTCTGTGACCCTGGTTGTAGCTCCAAAGCCAGCCATTAAATGTGTCGTGTGTCTGAGCCCTCCAGGCTCAACCCTGTCCTTTCAGCCCCACAATGAAGAAACTCAGTTCAAGTTTGCTGTTTTGTTAATAAGTGAAAAGAACCAGACTGTCTCTGCGGACCACAGCTGAAGCCCTCTTTGTAATCGCCCAACCCTCTGCTCCCAGCTTCTAACACAGGTCAATACATTCCATTACCGACACTGTTTTGAAAACTGAGGATATAGGAAAATTAGAAAAGAATGTGCAGCTGAACTAGACAGGCAGGTTCTTGTAAAAAAAAAAAAAAGTTTACAGCAGGCCACCACCATTACAGAGAACTGTTCCTGGCAAACCCTGGGGCTGGCAAAGATCTTGGTATCTCCCTGTTTGGGAGTGACTTTAATGAGAGGTCCTCAAGGGGCTTGCCCACAGGGGTGGCTGTTATTAGGCATTGAAACCAAGTTTGCAAAACATCCCAACAACCTGGAAAAATGCTTATTGTAGACACATTGTGTTCAGGGAGGACTCTTAGCCAGGTTTTTTAAAGCAGGACAAAAATCACAGCATTTGGAAAGATGAAGCAAGAAGACTGCAAGTCTGAAGCCAGTCTGGGTATACAGCAAGACCCTAGCTCAAAAAAAAAAAAAAAAAGAAGGCAGAGAATAAAAATTGAAAAGAAACACATCAACTTGTTTACAGAAGTTACCCATACATGTCTATGCTTCTTCTGCCCTTTGCTGTAGCCTTTAAATATCACACAATGGATATATACTGTTTACACCAGAAAAATCAGCAAGTATTGTGTTTTAAATATGACAAGATAACATCAAGACTAGGAAAAAAACAGTTAGTTATGAAAAGAAGAAAGTCAAGACTCGATACTTCCCCAAACCACTTCCTCGTGTTTTCTTTTAGTCTAGAATCTTTTTGAATACACAAAGGTCTGATTAATCAATCCTGTGCAAGCTGTGAGGCTGTCCAGGCCCCTCCTGAGCAGCTCAGTTCATTCAGTGTGCCAATTGGCAAGCCCCTACCCCTGCTTCTAGAAAGGGAGGAAGCAAGAAGTCCTTGATCATGTCGGCATGTCATATTGAAACAACTTCATGTCTGCAACTGTTTTGCTTTCTGTTTTTGTTAGTAACCTCAGCTTTCTCCCTTCACTGAGCCATGTGGGGGTGTTTATGGTTAAGTTATTAATAATATACGTGTAATAATAGCAGTTTGTGGAAGCTGTGTCGGAAGGAACGTGGCCAGCACCCCAGGGGAGGGCGGGTTCCCTCCTATCTCTCATGCTCCAGCTTGGCATTAGCACCAATCAGAACAGTGTCCAATGGAGCTGCATGGCATTCTGCTATAACACCACTAGGAGACACTAAAAGCACATGAGGACAGCCAGCTCCCACTGAGGACAGCTTCAGCTGCTGCTCAACAACTTGAGGACACCCAGGGGAGTGGTGTTCCTCCTTGCCCACCTCCAAAATCTCAGGGAAGCCACAGTTTATAGGTGCATTGCCACTTATTTTATTACCTCTGGGACAACAAGGCTGCTTCCTTCGCTAATTCCGCCTTTCAGATCACAACCATTTCTAGCAGGAGTGAAATCATTCACACCTAAAACAAATTCGATAGGTCCCTACCCATGATATGCATGAGCAGGAAAGGAGTCTTAAACTGTGTGTGGGTTGCATGGCCACTAAAGTGCTCCCTTGTAAGCTGAAGGGCTGAGTCTGTTTTCCCAAACACACACAAAAAGGCAGGTGCAATCCCAGGCACTGGGGAGGCAGAGACAGGCAGATTCCCCATCTTGCTGGCCTGTCAGCCTAGCCTAGTTATGAGCTTCAAGCCAGTGAGAAACCTTGTCTCAAAATACAAGTCAGATTAACGGCGCCGAAATAGCTCAGTTGGGAGAGCATTAGACTGAAGAAAATACAAGTCAGATTGTATTTTGTATGCATTGTATCCTGAGGTTGGTCCCTGGTGTCTACACATACGTGCACATTGACATACACACACACACTCATAACATATATTTTCAGATTTGCCACACCCCAACAAATAAAAGTTTCCAGTTCCCTGTGACCCCGTGCAGTGCATATTCACATTGCACAGAATCTCACCGATGCTAAAAGTTCAAAGAGACACAGCTTCATTCCAGATCACATATCAGAATTGAACCAAACCTCAGAGAGGAGAGATGAACCACTCCCTCACTTTAAACAAAGAAGCTGATGCCCGGCCAGGCATTGCATACAGTATCTCATTTAACCCTCATGCTAGCCCAATGAGAACAATGTCAGTGCTCTGAATTTGGTATGAGACCAAGATCAGTGAGGAGAAGACCCCTGCTTCAGTCCACAGATCTCCTAAGTGGTAGGCATGGGATTCCACAGGTTACCTGAACAGACTCCCACTCAGGGCTCCAAAATCCCAGCAAAGGGTTCCTTCTACATCAAACTGGAATTACTTTAGCCTTCTCTTCAGAAGTTCGTTTGTTGGTTGGTCTTTGTTCCTTTATATCTGAGATATTCTTTCTATATCATCCCACTTTCTAAGAGGGCAACAAACATACCTGCTCCCCAGTAGGAAGGGAGAGAACCTCTGCTGAGGCCTGGGTGCCTTGCTGGAGGAACTCATAGTAACCCTGTGTTGCTGCCTGATAGCTCGCGGGGTCATCCTCCAGGATATCCACAGGGTAAGCCTCTGTAGGAGAAAAAGGCGGGAAACAGAGTTAGTTGTACTGCCACTAAAAGGAAAGTTAATTATTTCAAGCTTATTAAGGAATAGTTTAGCAGTCACAGTGTGGGCTGGGGAGATGGCTCAGTAAAGGGTTTCCCATGCGCACATGAGGACCTGAATTCCAGCCCCAGACCCCACATATCTGGGTGATATGGCCTACGCTTTTAATTCCAGCACTCAGGAGGCAAAGGAAATCTGATCTCTGAGTTCAAGGCCAGCCTGGTCTATAGATCAAGTTCCAGAACAGCCTGGACTACACAATGAAACCCTGTCTCAAAACAAACAAACAAAAACAAGCTTGCAATCCCAGCCTTGAGGAGGCAGAGATAGATCCTGGTTTTCGGGTCAGGCAGCTTTCCCTAATCAATAGTTCCGGGCCCATGAAGAGTCCCGGTCTTCAAGAAAGAAGGAAGACAGTAAATGGCACGTGAGACATGGCACCTAAGGTTGACCTCTGACCTCTACATCCATGTGCACACATCAGCACACATACACACCAATACCAACACCAATACATACCCACATACACATACAAACACATAAAGGCAATAAATAAATAAATCAAAATTAGGTTCACCTATTCCCTCCCAGGCTACTTTTAAAAACCCCAGCCATACTCTCACCAACTGATTTTTCCATCCTTCACCGTGGTTCACTCAGGGGCCATGACCACAAGCAGGGTCCCTTGAACGCAGAGAAGGGCTGGCTGGAACTCTGACACTGTTGTCACAAGCAACTTGTTACTCTTTCTAGATTACAATCACTATACAAGCCCCTAGGATTCTCCCCTTTCTCTCTGCCCTGGGCACTGGGGGCGCAGCGGCTTGTGGGAATGAAAAAATACATCCCTCCATTCACTTGCAGGGAACTAATCTAAGGTATTCTGCGGCCATCCTCAGCATCTCTTTCCTCTCACACCTCTGCCAGAAACAGATCCCCTGGAATCATCACACAAATTGGCAGCATCCAGTTCTTTCTTGGAAGCAGCAATCAGTTGCCCACCGGCAGTGGGCAAAGATGCTGCCTGCCTCTGGCTGACAGGTCACCGTCTCCAAGTGTGAAGGGACTAAGAGCTTATTCTGTGGACCGCACCCCATCTCTGCCTTTGATTTGCCTTCTCCTATGAAGGGAACCGGCTGCCTTAGCAGCAGCTGCCTGCCCCTTCCCTCCTCTTCTCTGCCCTTTCCCCTCCCCCACTCCTCTTTATCGACCTATCACCTCAGAGATTAATCTGGACATGGCATCCCATTCTCTCTGGACAGCCATAGTTTCTGGGAGTCACTCCAGATCCAATATGCTGTTGATGGCAAAAAAAAAAAAAAAAAAAAAAAAAAAAAGTAAGCCTTCAGTTCACTCAGCTTGCCCAGGAGGAGTTTTGACCTCTCTCTGCCAATCAGCTCCCAGTGGGAGAATTCAAAGGTGTACAAAATGCCAACGTGAGTAGACTGGGACATGGTTGCAAGCACCCCAACCCTCAGGCTCACTTTCCAGGATGCAATGTCATGGATACACAGATTGCCCATGGCTGAGTGGAAACAGACAGCCTCCCTTTGGGAGGTTTCTACATCCATGGGTCCAACCAACCACAGACTAAAGATGCTGAGGAGGGGGAAAGGTATGGAACACCTACAGATCTCTGTACCTTGACTCCTTAAGGAGTAACATATAAAGAGACTACTTCCATGGCATTTACTTATATTAGGAATTATCAGTCACATAGAGACTAGGGTATCCAGGAAAACCTGCATTGGCTGCACACAAATATGCCATTTTGTAAGGGATTTGAACACAGGTTGATTTACGTTTCTAAAGGTGGTCTTTGAACCATTCCCCAGTGGATACTGAAGGAAAACTGGACATTCTTCCACTAGTCAATTTTTATAAAGCATTTGAGTATAACACACACACACACACACAAACACACACACACACAATGCCTTTAAAAGTGCATTGTCAGAAATACTTAAAATAGAGATATCAAGGGTTGGTGGTTCATTGGCGGCAATGACTAAGTGACTGAAAAAGGGATGAGTCTCTATAAAGCCAAGATCTTCTGTTGGCAAAGAAGGCACACACTCATGTGCTCCTTACACGCAAAAACACATGCTCAAGTAAGCCCAGGTTCTTTCTTAGGATTGTCATGGATTCTGCACAGGAGTTAGAGGAACCTGAAGGACATCAAACTACCCAGAGTCTACTTCCAATCTGTCACAGAGACAAACTCCACCTACAACTGCCCTTGTATTGTATCCATCCCTCACTTAGATCAAGATCTAAGCTTCTCATGGGAGCCTCAGGCCTTGCCCTCCTACCCATCTAAGCTCCATACATAATTAACAAGGACAACCAACTTTCTCTGGATCCCAGTTGCCGAGAGGCAGATGAATGTCCCCAACCTTGCCTCACTGTACCCTGCTTGCCCCCCAACTGACAGGGAAGGGAGCGAGGCTTCGTGAAAGAAAGTAACAAAGCATGTGCTCCCCCAATTCTAAACTCTATCTAAAGTGTTCAGAATATGTTATTTAAATCAAAGCTCTCCATCATAACAATGGAGCACCCAATGGGCTCCTGTAGCCCCTACTCTCAGAGTTCTGCCACTTCATCCTCGAGGCTCACCGGATACAGCCAACACGCCTCAGGAGCCTTCCATAAGCCCTGAAAACCAAGATCAAGGATTCCATGAGTCACTGAGGCCTGAGTTCAAATACTTCCTCAGCCTAGGATAGGAACTGACAAGGCCTTTCTGTTGTACAGCTGCAATCCCTTCCAACTTGCCCCTCGGTTTTGTCTTAAGAGTGGTTACCTCCTAACACACAAACAGGAGAAGCTGGGGCTTGTGAAACACAACTCAGCTCCCCTTGCAGCCCCATCACAAAGGCCCGTGCCTTTCCCATAGGAAGCACTTAGGAAATGTGGTGGTTGAGCTTTCCATTTTAACAGCTGTTTCATGGACTTGTCATATGGCTTCCCATGGGTATGCAACAAGATCTAGTGAGCATGCCAATAAATTAAGAAAAGCCAGCAGGTGGGCTGCTTGGACCCTGCATACCCAACATGCTACATTCGTCCCATGGGAGCCAGCTTCTGGACGACTACTCTCAAAATACCTACCCCCACAGCAGGAACACAGCCTGAGGGGCACGAAGAGACCAGACCTAGATTTTTATTGTTTCTGAGCCTATGTTTTAGGAAAGGTGTTCATCAGATCTGGACCATCAATCCCCTTGTGAGATACAGATTGCAGAACTAACAAAGATCATTATCAATCGGCCCCCCATGAAGAAGCTGACCCTATGCTCATCAGCTTTGCTGATGACACCCATCCAAGGCCTAAGCCAGGCGCTTGCCTGCAGTTGTCTGATATCCTTTCTGGTTGTGTGAGGTCAGGGCAAATGTCATGAATGTGTTATGCTCTGTTCACATCATGAAATCATTTACCCTGAAAGACACCCCCCCCCAAGAACTCATGGACAGTGCTTCCAAGACACTGGCTGTCCCTAGAAGAGAATGTAGCACTTTGGCATCTCCAAAAGGTCACAGGAGCAGATAAGGGGGGGAAGTCTTCTCAAGAACCTAATGCTTGCTGGAATCAGCAAGTGAGTGAGGGCAGCAGGGAACATAAATTAAGCACTGGGGATGCCAGCACTCACCAATAATCTGGCACCAGCACGGGGTTTCATCTCTAAGACATGAGGTTCTATCCATCAGGAGGAAGAGTCATTAAGAACACCACCTGGGCACCCTGCAAGCAGGGCCCACGACACCCCATACATCCTAAATACCCACCCCAGGAACACTCCACCTTTAATCACAGCACTCAGGAGGCAGAGGCAGAGTCTGTGAGTTCAAGGTCAGCCTGGTCTACAGAGCAAGTTCCAGAACAGGCTCCAAAACAATACAGAGAAACCCTATCTCAAACAAACAAAAAATGAAACGAAAGAGAGAGAGAGAGAGAGAGAGAGAGAGAGAGAGAGAGAGAGAGAGAGAGAGAGAGAACATGCTCACATAAGCCTCATGGAAAACCAGGGGAATGTGAAAACGAGGGTTGCCCACGTAGGAGATGGGATGAACAGTCAAAACCAGCCAGAGGGCTGGGGAGCTGGTTTGCTGGTTAAGAGCAGTGGCTATCTTCAAGAGGACCCAGGTTCAATCCCCAGCACCAACATGACACCTCACAACTGCCTACAGCTCCAGTTCCAGGGAATCTGACACTCACACAGACATAAATGCAAGCAAAACACCAAACAAAAATAAAATTAAATTAAAACAAAACAACAACAAAAAGGGGCAGTAAAGGGAACTCCCATCCTCCTTCCCAGGAGGAAACCCCAAAGCCCCCAACTGAGCCCCTTAGTAAACAAGTCTGGGGTGGGTCAGGACAGGCCTCCTCCCCTCAGCCTTCCAGATGTGAGCCCCTAATGGGCCTTAATGGCCTGAACCTTACAGGAAATATTTTTCTAAAGCCAAAAGAATGTAATCTCCATAGCACAACACTGGATGGTTTATTAAGAAGGCACACAATTGAAATAACTCACTGCAGACTGCAACGAAACCGAAATTCTTGGATAAAGCCTGATTTTATGAATTCACTCCAGTACATGCTGGCGGCCTCACCCTAAAAATGAAACTAATGGTGTTCTTCTGGGGAAAATCTCCAGAGCTCTGAAGCAAAGCTGGAGATCGCATAGCTTCTCAGGCTCCTGTCTCCCGCAGCCCTGTAGCCCAGTGCCTCAGTCACTAGTCAATCCAGAAAGCCCCAATGTTCAGATGGATCCCCAGAAATGCTGGGTCCTTTGAATAGAAACAGCAAAGCCAGCCAATGGAGACGTGAAGGGCACAAAGATCTGCCCTTAATCACAGACTCGTGTTGGCAAAGCGCCATTTTTTCTAAGGTGGGACTATTATCCTGAGAAACATTAAGGGAAATGTTTTAAATTTTACTAGTCCCGGTCTCACAAACTTGG